GGGGCAGCCACTCCAGGGCTTCCTAAACCCTGTGAGGGCTGGTGCTTGAGGCCTGGATCCTGGGTATACTTTGTTTTGCCTGACCAGGTGTGGACTGTGTGAGTCCGCCAAAGGGCACTCTAAAACCAAAAGCAAAACAAAATGAAGCAAAAGAAGGGAAGGAAGAAAAAAGAAAGAAAAAAAAAGACAAACCACACACAAAAGCCTCCAGTAAGATTCTGTTGCTGCTGACACTTGGGTGATCGCTACAGCCCTGGCAATGGCAGTTGTGGTCACATGAACTGAAAGCCACTGTTTTGATGGCACAGAGGCCGATGTGGGGGGGGGCCCTTTGTAACTGCAGGAGTTAAACCGGTCAAGGGAGGTCAGCAGGGTTGGCCCCCACCCCATGCTGCTTGGCCCATTCTCTCCTCCCACCCCACTCTGAGGAGGCAGTTCACATGCAGAAGACAAATGGCATAAAGGGAGGCAATTAATTTTTTCAGCTGGAGGCTGCGATGGAATTTGGGTGCTTAGACTCTGGTGTGAGCCTCTAATTCCATTCTTCTGCTCTGTGAAATACCTCCACTCTTCAAAGGAGGCAGTGCCCTTCAAAATTCCACCGCGAGGTTTTCCGTCTAGGGCCAAGAGGCAAATTTCGTCCTGAAAATTATTTGGAATGAATCTCAGGCTGCCCTGCTGTCCCGTGCTTTTTCCGTTCCACCAACAGCTACAGCGCAGGAAAGATGGAGGCTGATTCTTCATTCATTTTCTCGGGGAGGGAACAGTGTGTTCCCAGAGCGCGGCTCAGGGTCCGGCCCCCACCTCCCAGCAGCCTTCATAGTGTGGAGCAGCCCGGCCAGCCTCTGATGAACAGAGATACAGGACAAGAATGGAGAACTTGTTGGGGAAAGGGGGAGGGACCAGCTTAAGCAAGAATGGAACAAGGCGAGCACTTAGGACTTGGCGAATGGAGAGAGAGAAGGAGGGGACCCTCAGGGAAGAAAATGAATCCTGAAGGGGACAGGAGTAGGAAAAAGCCACTTCACCTGCTTCCATAGAGGCAGTGCAGGGCAGCCGTCAAAGTGCAGGCCTGGGTGGGAATCTTGGGTGGGTGACCTTGGGCAAGATTTCACCTCTCTGTGGGTCAGTTTTCTCACCGGCAAAATGGGGTATAAAATAGTTTCTATCTCATAGGATTATCACGAAGCTTAAACAAGAAATTCCTGGAAAGCACTTGAGAAAATATTTAGCATGTAATAAACACTCAGTAAGTACTGTCCGTTATCATTTCTAATTTTTCTCCCAGCCTGTGTCTCACAATCCTTTTTTCAGGAGCCACCTCCCTTATGCGCCCTAACCAGGGATCAAACAGAAACCTAGCCAGTCTGGTGTGGCTCAGGGGGTTGAGCATTGACCTATGAACCAGGAGGTCACAGTTCGATCCCTAGTCAGGGCACACACCCAAGTTTCAGGCTTGATCCCCAGCAGGGAGCGTGCAGGAGGCAGCCGATCAATGACTCCCTTTCATCATTGATGTTTCTATTTCTCTCTCTCTCTCTCTCTCCCTTCCTCTCTCTGAAATCAATAAAAACATTAAAAACATGAAATCTAGGTATGTGCCCTGACCGGGAATCAAACCTGAAACCTTTTTGGTGCGTGGGGTGATGCTCCAACCAACTGAGCAACCTGGCCAGGACTAGAAGAGACCATTTGTAAAAACTTATGCTTAATGTCCCCTGAGGTTTAAGAGAAGATATTGCATCCAAGAAACAAGAACAGATGCAATAAAACAAGGAACATTCAGAGAAATACAACAAAGATATTTGGAAATTTTAAAAAACTAATATACTCCCTCGCTGGTTTGGTTCAGTGGTTAGAGCATCGGCCCAAGGACTGAAGGGTCCTGGGTTTAATATGACCAAGGGCACGTACCTCAGTTGCAGGCTGATCTCGGGTCAGGGCTAGTGCGGGAGGCAACCCATCGATGTGTCTCTCTCACATCGGTATTTCTCTCTCTCTCCCACTTTCTCTGAAAAGCAATGGAAAAAAATATATCCTTTGTGAAGATAAAAACAAAAAAACAAAAAACTAATACGTTTGCAGAACATGGATAAATGTCAAGAGCATCTAAAGAAATAAGTGAGACACAAAAATGTATCTACCATTCAATTCTATTTGTATGAAATCCAAGAACAGACCAAACTAATCTGTGCTAACAGAAATCAGAAAGTGGTTGCATGGCAAGTGGGAAGGAGAATGGACTAGAAAGGCACACAGGGAACTTTCTTGGATGAAAATATTTTGTGTCTTGTTTGGGTGGCATTTATGTGGGTGTATTCAATTATTAAAATTTATTTAACTAAATAGCTAAGGTCTGTGCATATTACTCTATGCTAATTACATGCTAATAAAAACATTTGCAGAAATGAAAAGTTCAGTAGAAAAATTAAGCATCTAGATCTAGCTATCAATGCCCAGGAAATACAAAGAACAGAGGAACATGTTAAATGACACCACAGAGATACAGTCAGCAGAATCTGACTGTGGCAAACAGACAAAGGAAGAACTTATATATTCACAGACATTTAAGAGACATCAATCAGTCACATCGTATGTACTGCATTTGAATCCAAATTTAAACAAACTGTCTAGAGGACAAATTTCGAGGACACGTGGGAAAGTGTTAACATGTCCAGATATTTGATAATATTTAAAAGTTGTTGTTACTTTTTAAGTGAGATAATGGTATTGTAGTGCCTGGTTTTTGGATTTTTTTAAGAGGCCTTACCTTTTAGAGATTCATAGTGAAATACTTACAAACAATACAAGGTCTAGGACTTTCTGGGCAGTGAGGGTGGGAAGGAGCACAGAAGCAGCGTATGCAATATGTAATTTGGGTGACCATATGTTCCGGTTTGCCTGGGACAGTCCCAGTTTACACCTGTTACCCATCCCTCTGTTGATTCATCCATCCATCATATCTTTTATGTATTTCCACATAAGCTCCCTTCCTTTTTTCCCCAACCCTCAGCACCTTCACCTTGCTCATATCACATGACCATCCTAGGTGCAAAGGATGCTGAGAGGTGCTGGCCTCTATAATAGAGGGATACAAGGGAAAGGGGAGACGAAATGGCCTTTTGCTACCTTGGCTTACAGCGTTTCTCAGACTCCTCCACCTCTCCCCTCCAATCTCCCTCCCACCATTGTATCCAACAGATCTTATATTCCAGAAATGCCAAATTTCTTCAAGTTCCTTGAACACCTCACCTTTTCCCTGACTTCATCTCTTGCACGGGTCCATTAGCTGGATAG